ATGTGATTGCTCTTAATGTCAATGAACTGTACACTTTAAATGGTTAAAATGGCAAACTTTGTGTTATGAATATATTTGCCACAATTTAAAAGAATTATCAGTGGACCTCACATTATATAAATCTGTTTTCTCGAAAAAATGGACACACAGTCAGGTTTTTTTAAAGGGTAATCGTGTATATCAGATGGCAAATGCCTGCTTGGTTGGCACAGGGATCTATCAGACTGGACTGAGGTGAAGGGAGTTCCCTGGTCTAAGATGAACTAAAAACTTACACCTGACCTAAGGTCATTTTCTCCTGGTGCTCAAAGAAAGGGTCTCTGTATGGAAAAAAAAATAGACCCACATCATTTTAAATAGGAAATGATTCTCTGTTTTCAGAGTCAGTGAAGGAATACAGCAGGAAATTGTTCAAAACGAAAATAGTGTTTTAAAAAACAGCATATGTGGTTGGGGTGTTAATGTTTAAGTAGGACGCGTCTGCTCTGGAAATTCAAACATTTCAAACCAAAGTGACAAAGTTTCACTAGGAAAGTGAAACCAAACCCTGAACTGAGCCAACATCCCCTGACCCAGGCTCCTTGACCCTCAATACTGCATGCCGTTTTGGAGATGAACAGCACCACCTTCCAACATGGCAACAAAGCTTTCAAATTAAGCACCTTTAAAGCCCTTCAAATAGTGGGTCTGTCTTTCAGAGACACACCCTCTGAAGAAAGGTAATACTGAGGCTGTATGGGGAAGGCTTCCCTTTGCAGCGCTGGTTGGGTTACAGTCTACCTTCTGAGTATGAGTCAAGACTAGTCAGAAGAACCCAGCAAAGTAGTTAAATAAGGAGAGTGATAAGATTGCAAAATAACAATTTAGGCTCTGATAATCCACCAATTAGACTGAACAAGTGGAACAGATAATCTATTATAGTGTCAACTAAAGAAAAATTAGGACTTTTAAAGAGTTAATGTTAGTTTTATTTAGAAGTCTTCCTGAAGATTATAACCTGGGACAATCTTTTAGAGAGTTTTTGTCAGACTACTCCAACACAGCATTTTAGTTTACAGGTTTTATACAGTCAGCGAGATTTAGTATGTGCAAAAAAAAAAAAAAATTTACATCAAAGCTTGGGTGTAAGAGTAAATCGGGTTACAGCCTGCAGGGGCATAATTGCTAACCTTGGCAGACATTATCTTATGTGTAAGAAAAGGCAAGAACCAGGTCATGTATCTTTTTAAGGAGCATAGTGCCTCAGGCAAGAGATGTGGAGAGGTGTGTGCTCTATCTTGTTTATCATCTTTAAGGCATTCTTTGAGAGAGCTGCATTTTGTAACAGAGTCAATGGGACTGCAAAATTATGCTGGCAAGCCAACATGGCTTCTCATGTTTGCTCCCTTTTCTCACAATAGCAATTGAAAAGTAGATTGCTTGCTTCCGATTCTCAAAAACCATTGTGGTAGGCAGCCTCCAAGACGGCTCCCTGTGGTCCCAACTTCCTGCTATTCACATCCTTGTGTAGTGTCCTCCCACAATGTAGTGAGGTTGGTTTGTGTGACTAACAGAAGATGGTAGAAATGATGGTATGTCACTTCTGATATTAGGTTATAAAAGACTGCAGCTTTTGTCTTAGTCACTGTTTCTTTCTCTGTCACTCATTCCGGAAAAAGCCACCTGCCATGTTGTGAGGACACTCAGACAGCCTTGTGGAGAAGCCCACGTGGTGAGGAACTGAGGTACCCAGTCAAAAGCCACGTGAGCAAGCATAGAAGCCCCAATGATTGCAGCTCCAGCTGACACCTTGACTGCAACTTCATGAGAGACACTGAGCTAGAACCAGCCAGCTGAGCTGCTTGCTGATTCCTGATCCTTAGAAACTGTGTGAGATAATAAATGTTTATTGCTTTAAGTCACTAAGTTTTGAGGTAATTTGTTACATGCCAATAGATAAATAGAGCCACAGACACCATGCTTTCTGCTTGCTGAGGAAACCTAGAGACAGCAGTAGAGTAGAGAGAGGGCTGACAGGGCCTGTCCTGAATCTAGATGGCCTGGCCTCAACTGCCATTCTGGCAACTGGCTTTGTCACAAGGCTTTAGAGGGGTTTGGTAGACCTCAGTTTCTCCACTTTGCCACGCTGTGAGCAAAAGAGAGTGAAGCAAAATGACTGTATCCCATGGACATCCTATTGTGAAGGATACAGGGCTAGCCAGGAGAAAGAGGCCTGGCCCCAGGCCCCATCCCCGCACCTCCAAACTCCCATGAGACCATGGGAAAGTTTCATAATTTTTTTAGGCCTTTGTTTCTTTATCTATAAAATGGCTACAATACTACCTTCCTGTGTGGTTAAAATGGGTAGAATAGATGTGAAAGGACATTGAAAGAAGAATTCAACCTGCTGCACAACTTCTAGACAATATCTTCATCATCATCTTCTAGATCATGATCGTCACTACTTTCTACTCAGAGATGGAGTGTAAGGGTTTAGATTTTATATCGCTGTCCTTACCATCAAACATGAGGTCACTTGGGGAGACTTAAAGGCTATACCAAAAGTATAATATTCAAATTCAAATATTCCCTGGGGCCACGTAGACAGCATAAATGTGTGGTTCAGGTTGGGAGATGGGGGGGATATGATGTGGCCATGGCAAACAAGAGAGTTCATGCCCTCCCTGAAAGAAATTTTAAAACATTGTTGAGGGCCAAGCAAACCAAGTCTGCCTACTGAATTTGATCCACCAAACACCAAGTTGTGATCAACCCCAATATCCAGCACCATAAGCAATAAAAGGCTAAGGATGGGGAGATTATATATATCCTTGCCATATCTTTCGCAGATGCTGGAAGGTTCTGTGAATAGGTCTTCCTCACACATGCATTCATTCAATCCAGAAATGTTTATGGAATGCCCACTATAAGCTATATAGTATACTGCATACCAATCTTGTTATACCAAATTTTGTACCTTAAATCCTTCTATTTTATGCCCTTCCAAGTTTGGGTTATTTGTATCAGTACTGTATTTGCTGGTAAGGCAGATCCTCTATCTTAAGAAATGAGTTCCAGGCCCAAATTCACAAATAAAGAATTATTATAATAATAGCATATTCATGAAAAGCAAATTACTTATCTTGGCGTTTAACATCCTTGTAACTATTCCTGTACTTTTAATGTCAACAGAAAAAAAGTAATGTCTAAGTCTGCCTGATACGGTAAATTAATGTTAATAACAGTTTTGACACTAATAGCAAGTTTTAAAAGGAAAAACCTCTAGTCTCTAAACTGGGTTTCATTTCTTAAAAATCACCTCGGCTCGCTGTCACCAGACTTCCCAAGAACAATTCCAGCTACCATTTTGCCTTCACTAGGAGCCTGAAACCACTAGGGTCTATAAAGTTTCTATGAAATTATATTTTTCCCCTGCCTTTGCTCACTCCAGATGCAGAAAACATCCACCTCCCTCAGGATACAATACCAGGGCTTCTCAGCAGAGACACATTTCTGAATCCCTATAAGCAAATGAATACCTACACAGTTTCATTAAAAACCACTAGCTGTTTCTTTAGAGCCTGAAAATTAGTTATGAAAATGTGAACTATTAAAATACACAATAGATTAAATAAGAAATTTCAGACTTTATGTCATAGAGACCCGAGAACAGGGTCTGCACTTTGTCTACCTGTGTGTTCTTCCATAGTGTCGTGCATAACAAGAACACTAATAAATGCCCCATGAATTAAATTATTTGAGCTGAAAATTTTAATAGGCCTGGGGAAAATGAAAAGGAGGCCAGCCCCTGGCTCCTCCACTCTTGCCAGCTCTTTCTAGAAGTCACTGAGGGCTCATGCAGCCCTTGCAAACCTTCCGCCTTTCTCAGACTCAGCCGATAGGTCATAGTTGGCCTATAATACCCACCTCTATAATCACTTAGAGGTCACTACGCTTTATGCAAAGCATCTCTTTCAACTTCCCAAATGTTGTTCTTTTTCTGTTATTAATTGAGTGTTTTACTTTTAAATAATCCTATCATGAAGGATCTCAAATAAACAGAGGCAGCAGTGAAAACTCATCAATAAAATAATTAAGTCAAAGTAGATTTTGTTAGAGACTTCTCATATCATAATAGGAAGTCTAGGCTACTTCAAAATCAGGGACATAAAGTGGAATCATTTCTTTTTGTTTTCAAGGGAAAATTAGCTTTAAAAACATCTCTTTCATAGAACCCTCATCAACTCCTCTGGCAATACTGGTTATTTACTTGGGAAGACCATTAAATACCAATAGAGTACAAGGTAATTTCCAGAATTTTCCTTTCCCTTTCCATAGTTATCATTCAGAGTTGTAGACAGAATTTAGGCAAGGAGACCCTCTACATTTTCTCTCACAGTTTTAAGGTTCAGATCCTGGTCTTAGTCCCCCAAGACTTTTGCGCCTTATCCCAACACTTGCCATGGAAAAATGGGAAAATCGAGGCATGATGAGCATAAATGCAGGGCAAAGTCTTACCTCTTCTCTCTCACTTCCAACCGGTGAAAAAACAGGGTTCCTGGCAACAAAAGCTGACTGAGGCATCTACATTTCTTTGGATTCTCCTCCCCAAAACATAAATGTCAGTGGTTGGTCCAAGAGCCCATTGGCCTTGTCTTACAACATGAGCTCTGTGCTGCCACTGACCCACTTCACCTTTACTCCCAAACTTTGCATCATCTCCAACTGGGAGACTGGGATGAGCTATGGAATCAACTCCTGCAATAATAGACACTCAATTACCAAATAGCTCCCAAGCTCTGGACGAGAAATAGAAACAGAGACCAGACCTGGCTTCAGGTGCTATTGGGTGCCATATTGAGGGGTAAAGCAGAATAATGAAGTGGCATGGACTTGAAGTCATGCCCAAAGCAGAGGCCACATAGTGGACTGAGATAAGGGGCACCCTTGAGTGGCTCCATGAAAAGAAGGAGAAACTGAAAACACCCATCATTGCAGGGCCAAGTGAAATGATTACATACCCATGCTCCATCAGGCCCAAACAGTTCTAGAAAGTTGCCAATGAATTCCCTCGACTTCTCTTCCCACTTTTGAATTAGATCGTGACTCTTTTCTTCCACCCTGTTCACAAATTCCTTTGATCTTTCCTCCACGTTCTTGACCTTTTCCTTCATCTTGTCTACCTGATTCTGGAAACGGTACTTCTTCTCCTGGTCAAAATTTATAAGAGAAAGAGACAGATTTACCCAAGAGAGCATGAGGGAAATCAGTCATTCACACTAATGGTCACAGGTATTTCAACTTACATTTGTCCTCACCTAAAGAGTCTGGATGTTGCCATTTCCCAAGGGCTAGGTTGATGGGAACGCACATTTCTTGTAAGAAAAGTCACTTGTCATTAATCCATTTTGATATATAAAGGAAAGTACAAGTGGTTTTAATATTTTCTTGCTTTTAAATGTCTCCGAGTTGAATTCACTTATATAAGAGAAGAATAAAAACTACATAGTTGTCTTTTATTATGGGTAGATACTGGGCAAATATCTCCACTCAATTCTGCTGGGACATAAACAAAAGCATGAATTGTGTGCGGAATGGCCATTCAGAGGCTGCCTGAGTTCTCTGTTTTACTGGGACATCGTTAAAACTGATATTGCTTGAAGTAAGTGGGCCATTGACTGGGTTTTAGAACCCATGTGTTATACTAAAATTTTCACTGTAATATTTTTTACTAAGCTAATTGAATTGCCTCAGTTTCCTTGGTGAGAAAGAAAGCTTTTGTTCTGCTAGCTTCTCTTGACTTGGAATTTGTTTTCTCCTTACAGCTTTTCTGCAGCAATGCTCTCTACCTCCATGCCTGGAAGCCATCGTATGTTGGGAGAGTCATGTGTTACCACTAAACCTCACTTTCCTCTTCTGTAAAATGGGGATAATCATTATCCCTACCTCATAGGGTTGCTGTGACAATTAGATAAGAAAATGCACACAGGCTTATGTCCATAATCACAGCACTTTAGGTGCTGAGGTAGGAGGATCGCTTGACAGGAGTTCGAGAACAGCCTGGGCAACATAGCAAGATAGCAAGACCCCATCTCTAAAAAAAATATAAAAATTTGCCAGGCGGGTAGCATGTGCCTGTAGTCCCAGCTACTCAAGAGGCTGAGGTGGGAGGAGGGCTTGAACCCACGAGTTTCAGGCTGCAGTGAGCTATGATTGTGCCACTGCACTCCAGCCTGGACGACAGAGTGAGACCCTGTCTCAAAAAACAAACAAACAATCAAAAAATAATGCACATAAAGTGCTTGGCACAAAACCTGGCATTTAGTAAATGCTTGATGTGTGTTGGCTGTTTCATTAGTATAAAGTGGCATAGGCATTTACCTGTGTTAGCTGGTGGGAGTGGTATCAAAACTATGAAAATAACATGAGACAAAGGGCCTTCCCCCATGAAATCATATGTTTTCTCCTAAAGTGGAAATAAGGCTTATCATTCTCCTTTCCTATGTGAGATTAAAGTTCATTTTGTATTTCGGAATTTTTTGAGACACCTGGAATATTGCAAAACGGGGTCAAGATTCCCTGACTTAGACCTTCCGAACCTTACTGCGGCCTCAGGGTATGGTGTGAGCTATGTGTGCTGCCCCTGAGCTATATATACACACATATTTGCTATGGGAAGTCACTCCGTATTCCACGACTTACCGTATGACCTTAGGTGAGTTCTTCAACCTCTCTGGGCCTCTGTTTCCTCATCTCTATGTTAGATATAGTCATTATACCCACCCTCATAGGCTCATTATAAGGATTAAATGAGATAATCCAAGTAAAAACTTAGATGGGCACATGAGCTCTTGTTAGGTGTTGTCGTATAGCATTCTTTTCCCCAGTTCATTCTGCACTGGAAATAGTTACTACATACAGCTCTCACGGCAGCACGGAATAGTCGGATGGGCACTGGCCTGGGAGTCATGAGCCCAGGAGGCTGCAGCTGCCTGCACCTCTCCCTCATCTGATGGACCTTGGCCAGGTCCCCTCTCTGGGCTCAGCTTTCCTCATCTCTAAATTGAGGAACTTGGACTGGGTGACTGACCCCCATCAGGACCCTGACACCTCTGAGGTTCCGTGATTCATCTACACGCCCATCCAACACATTCGATTCCATCTCTGAGCTGCGGCCGGGTTTGTGGTCACAGGCAGGCAGCGAGCGTATCAGCACTGTCTGCACGGTTCCTTGAGCTAAGTGGCTTATCTAAAGAGAGCGAGCAATAGCTTTTGGAAATGGCTTGACATGCTTGGATGGTTGACTGAATTCAATTTAAAAGAACAGACAGTTTAATTTATTGAAATAACCAGGGCTTTATTCTCTATAAGATACCAAATAATCACTTTGACTGAATTATGTTCAGCCACTTGTTCTGGTGCCACTCGAACCCGACATTTTCCATTTTGTTACCCAGCTTGTATGAAGCCACAGAGCCTGCATTTCCAACACTCCCTGCCTCGTGAGGACAATTAATAGTCACTGATTTACAATTAATGACCCCCCTCCTATTTTGAAGGTACCAATGATCAATTGCACGAGCTGCTGGACAATTATGGCTATAGATAATTTTTAAGTATCTAGTTTTATAGACAAATCACCCTTTGAAAATACAGTATCTGTTTTAGGGGAGTGGAATTCTGTATGTTTGGAGGGTTCTTGTTTGAATAAAAAATGTCAGCTCCTCATAGGCCAGGCAAGTACAGTTGTCTGGAATCACTAACATCACCTCCAGCAACTGGGCTGCCCTCTTTGCTTTTTAACAGCTTGTTTTGCTTGTTTTAAAGATTGTTTTAACAATTGCTCTATTATTAAACTAACAGCAGCTCTGTGGGAACAATATAGTAGAACTACAGAAGGAAGCCAAAGACTTTAGACTTTATTTAAGCAGCTGTAATTTCTTTGGACCATAAAAAAAAAGACTGTAAAGGTTTCTAATGCACATCTGTAAGGCCTTAATAAAATGAAATTTTTAAAACATGAAGACAAAAATGTTTTCTCTGGGTTTAGCTTTTCATTGTCTCTGCTCTCCTTCCTATCCTCTGAGCAGAAGAAAAGTCTTGCCTTTCACAAGGGGCAGATGTCCCAGAAACCCTTCAACCAAGTCTGAAAACTCTGAAGAGGGAGGTTGGGGCATGGAGAGGGAAGTGAGGAAGCTTCTTTATAAAATGTGAAGCTCATTACCTGTGTTCTTTGGTTAACTTATGTTACCCCTTTGGACATTGGTTTACTCCTCTGTAGAATGGGGATAATAATACATCATTGGGATGTTATGTGGATTAAATGAGACAATAAATGCACAGCATTAAGAACACTACATAGAACATAGTAAGCACTCAATAAACAGCAGCAGTGGTGGTCGTAGTGGTGTGACATGGTTGTCTTCAGGGGGTGTATGGTGGCACACTTACATTTATAAAGCTGACATTCAGTTCCTTGGCTGTGTACCCTCTCTGGAGGTTGCGCCTAGCATAAACATCATAGTCACGGACAATTCTGGTGATGATGTCTGATGTTGAGATGCCTTCTGTTCTCTGTGTTGGAATAAACATCCCTGTTCAAGTAGGAAAGAGGAGATAAAAAGGAAAAATTAAGATCGCCTTGGTTGACCCATTTCCTTTAATGGCCCTCCTTTCCAGGACAAAGTTGGAGCTCCTGGGTGTGCCAGTGAGGCCTTCACATCTGGCTCCAGCTGACTCTTCTAGCCTCAGTTCTATACACTTCCCCCCTACCATAAACACTGTGTGTTCAGCATCCAGGACCTGTTCCCAGGATGCACCATGCACATGCCGGGCTCCTGGTGTTTGCCCATGCTGAGCCCTTTCTTTCTGCCCTGGAGACCCTGTCCCTGCCCACATCGACTGCAGAGTGCCTCCTCATCCTGCAAGGTCCAGATTCAAGGTTACACCTCTGGGAAGTCTTTTCTGACATCACCAGGCAGGATGCACAACATTTAGGACATAACTTGTCTACCATGAACAAACGTATTTTTAATATCCACCTCCATGTAGAAAGTGAACATTTTGAAAGTACAGATGATGCCTTAATTGTCTTTGCAACCCCAGCACCCAGCTCAGTGCTCCTGTGTCTAGCACACGGAAGGTGCTCGATAAATGCAAATTGAATGCATGAGTGAGTGAGTGAATGAAGAATAACAACTGAGTCAATGAATTAGATCACGGCAACTTCTCTTCTTCCCCAGGGAAGTCTACATCACATTATACTGAAGGAAAAGAAGAAGAAGTGTACTACTTTTGCTGTCTCTGATCTAAAGACATGCCCATGGAGGTGCTAGATGATTTTATCTTTCTCTACTCTGCACGGTAGTTTCACCGCTCAAAGGCCCTTTCAACTGGAATATGTGAGACTGAGTAAAAATAAACAACCACAGAGGATGCCAAGTTCTAATAGCACTTCCTCAAAGTCGTCAAAGATATATTTGTGCGTACCACCCGATACAGGACTATAAATAAAGAAGTCACAAATATTAACAACGACAAGAATAGGGTTTATTCTCACTGTTCTGTTGTCAACTGAAATGACATGTTATTGGCCACTGAGATCTTTCTACCTAATATTATTAGGGCCACTCAATCAGATATCGGGCGTGTGATGGCATAATAGGCAGGGCCTGGGGACAAGGGCACTGGGCTCTCAGTTTTCAGACTCGGGCAAATCAGTCAAACCGTCTGAAGGCAAGTTACTTAACCTTAGTCTCCTCAGCTGAAAAAGAGGTGGCTGGACAAGATGACCCGGGACTCCCCTGTGTCATTTACCGCTCCCTCACTCTCCATATCCAATCAAGTTCCCAATCTACTTCTTACATATTCCCCTAATTCACCCACTTTTCTCCATCCTCTATCCTAAACCAAACCAATACCAGCTTGTTCAGAGATCACAGCAAGAGCCTAAATACCAGTCTCTAATGACGTCATTTTGTCTGTCTCAACCCACAGAGCAAGATCCACAGAATGTTCTTACCCAGTGCAAGTCAGAGGCTGCTCAAAACCCTTCAGTAGCTTTCTGCTGTCCTCTGGACTTACCGTCAAATCCTTAACTTGGTTCTGCAGCAGCTCGCATGATCTTGGCCACACTGGACTTCTTCGGTGTCCTGAAATTGCTGGCTCCCCTCCCCTCACTCTGCCCCAGACACAGTCTCTACCTGGCAACTCTTGGTCATCCATTGGGTTTCAGCTTTAGTGTCACTTCCTCGAGGAAATCTCTCAACCCCAAGAGTAGGTCTTCCTGTTGTTATTCCCTCCCATGGGCCACTTCCTTTTCCTTCAAATACTGCAAGATCTTTCTAAAATAACTTGTCCAATAACGGCCTTCCCCACCTGACTATAAGCCACAGGAGGGAAGGGAACACACCTTTCTTGTTCTTTTCTACATTCTCCGCACCAGTGACAAACAGACACTATGGGAATATTTGTTGAATGAATGACTAGATGAATACTGATCTTTAAGTGCCCTTCCAAATCCAGTTCTCTCTGAATGTTTCTGTCTTGCAGCCCCAACTAGAGTGTCCTTTTGGAGCTTACTTTTGATATCATCTAGAAATTCACAGTACCAGCAGCAGGGTGGCGCTGCTGCTGTTAGAGACAAAGCATCCTGTTTCTAACACTCTGTGGCTCAGAGGACAGAGTTGCGATTTGCCACTAGGCCAAATACTTCTTTTTATCACTTTCTAGGAGGGCAGACCTTAACACAGAAAACCCAATGGAAGGCAGAAGGTGCAAACATCTAAACACATGGACATAAATAGCACCCAGGCTAAGCCAGCTGTGCAGGGGGCCCTGGTGGGTGAGGGAACCCTGAACAGTCCCAAGCTGGGAGGCCTCGGATGACATCCCCACCTTGGTAGGAGCCGTGGGGAGCTTCATGGTGAGAAATCCATTTCATCTTTCAGCAGACAGATATTTTACCCACACCCCTACTGCTGAAATATTAAGACAATCCTCTAGCTACTAATGGATTTTAGCAAGTCATTTAGACATTAGTGACATGAGCTCTCCCTTTCTTTAAAGCCAGAGGTGAGTGTTTTGAGTGTCTTTGAGTAACTGAAAGTAGATTTGGGCTTGGGGAGAGATTTGCTTTGGCTGGTTGGGAGGTAGGTCTCTGAAAAAAGCCAAGCCCTCTGTTGACATAATGAGGTACCCAGCTTCCTCCAAATCCTAATTATTGCTCTGCTAAAAATATTCAGTAATGAACATCATCAGAGAACCTTTTTTATCATGCTTTTTAGAATTGCAGCGTTTGGTTATGGAGCTATTTTAAGAAGCTGCAAAGCACATGTTAATGAAGGAAACTTTCAATAGTAGTAGGCAATATTAGAATGGTGATGAGTAATGTGGACCTTACAGTCTATTTAATTTAAGCTCCATCTTTTCATACCACTTTGCTAGAGGATTTTGACATGTTGTTCTAACAAGCAGAGCAGAGTGTTGTAAAGCTTAATTCATGCCCTTGATATCGCTGGTTTCATTTAATGTGATTTTTTACTTTCAAAATAAACCACGATTAGAGTGTAAAGCCAAATGTGGATGCTCAGGCCATTTCTGAGCATCCTTCTTCCACAGTGAACTCTGGCCTTCTTTACCTGGGCCCCGAAGAGAGCTTTACTGTGACTCTCTCTCCTGATGAGGAATCAGCAGAGCAGATGAATGGATCATAATGAAGAGTCCTTGTGCATATGAAAAGTCACACGTAGGCTTATGCCTGTGTTCCCAGGGCAAGTAAAATATCACCTGACTATTCAATTTGGACAGAGAATTGTGGTGGATTAAAGATGGCCATAATTCCCTTCCTCTTGAATCTGGGCTGGCCTCATTGACTTACTTGGACCAAATAGAATGTCACATAAGTGACCCAGTGTGACTTCCAAGACTAGGTCAGAAGAAGCCTTGTGGCTTCTTTCAAGGTTGCTTGCTCTCTGGATACTCCCTCTCAGCTGCCATGCTGTGAGAGGCCCAAGCAACATGAACAGGCCATGTCTAAGTGCCCCAGTGACAACCAAAACTGAGTTCCTTGATGACAGCCAGCATCCAAGGCCAGCCACGTAAGTGTACCATCTGGGTGTCCCATCCCAGTTGAACTTTCAGATGATTGCAGCCCCCACCAACATCTGACTTCAACTGTTTGAGAGACGCCAAACAAAAACCACCCAGCCAAGCCCCTGCTAAAATCCTGCCCCACCAAATCATGAGCAAATTAAGTGGCTCTTTTAAGTCACTAACTGTGGGAGTCACTTTCTTATTCGATAATAGGCATACTGGATTGCTGGAAAACGTTGGACCTGTTCCTACACCTAAACAATTGGAACTTGACATTTTGCTCCCTAAAATCAGGAATGCAACTTATTCTTACCTCACTGGAGGCCACTCTCCCAGAAAGAAAACCACTACCAAATGCTTGTTCCTGTACTACCAGGTAGCTGAGGAACTGTCTCCCCAGGAAACACTGTTTTAATTAACCCTGGAGGTAACTCAGCTGGACCAGAATCCCTGCTCTATGTGAGGTCTACGGACTTGCAGCATCTAACAACCTGGGAGCTCATTAGGAATGGGACTCTCAGGCCCCACCAGAATTACTGAATCTGAATCTGAATTTTCACAAGATTCCACGGACAATCTGTAGGCACATTTGTTTGACAAGCACTAGTGTATACCAGGTCCTTATGGCAATTTTAGGAAAGGAGCGGGTGGTTCCCAGCTCAGATCTTACAAAGACTTAAAAAGGTATTAATCACCCCATGCCATATCCATCTTGATGTAACTGAGGCATTAGCCAGTTTCTTCTCCCCCTCCCCCTGCACTGTGTTCTTCAGCAGCCTTCCAAGTCTGAAGTGTATGGGGTTTCCTTTCTTAGAACTCCTAAAAAAAATATTGAGACTTGACAACGTCAGGTGTCCCACTCTTATCCAATGCTCCTGACCTCTGAGGGAGCCCCTGTGAGAGGATGGTTCGGTGCTGACCACCAGCCCTGCTAGGGGTGGAATGGAGCTTCCCGGGCTTGCCCCCGAGGGGTGTGAACCAACGAAAACACCATTGGAGAGAATAAGTACATTCCATGTAACACAATAAGTTTCTGAACTATCATTCAATGCTGTTTTCACTTCTAGAGGGCATGTCTCTCCTAAGGCCCTGTTCCCACTAGTACTGAGACCTCCATCACTTCACGGGGGAGGTCGATGAAGCCGAGAATACAGAAGAACATGTTCAGCCTTTGACTTCTAAGACGAGCTGCTTTTAAGGCTTGTTTGAAAAAGAAGAGTTATGAAAGGCAAGGATTTCACCGGGAAGGGCCAGGCTTTGAGGAATATAAAAAGGGTGTTCTAAATCCCAGAAGTGTCGCTTGAATTATTAAGAACCAGAGGCTGGGCAGACTCAGGGTACAGACTGCTTCACTGAAAGCCCTACAGTGGGAAGGCGTGGAATGAACCAAGGGGCAGTTTTTTGGCCTCCAGGAAGAAGAAAAGCTCCTCCTTGGGTTGAGGGAAGGAGCCCAGAGAGGGATCAGGAAGCAAGCAGCAGAAGTGAGAGAACAAGAGCAGGTTCTCTCACTCAGGTTCAAATCCCAAGGGCAGGGGCAGGGGCAGGGAAGAAAGAGACCCCTTTAGAAATCCCAGAGCAGGGAGGGCCAACACCTTGTTTAGTGCCAGGAACTTTGGGAAGAAATCATCTCACAGAGGTCAACACAGGGAGGTCTCAGGAGAGCATTCCTCCTGGTGGGCAGATCAGGCGGGGCCTGACATGGCTTCCTCCCACTGCCCAGTTTCCTTGGCCCGCCAGTAGATTATGGAGGACATTCTAAAATTTCTTGGGGACTTTCTAGAGGAACATGGAAGGCAGCTGAGATTTAAGATCAGCATGACTGCTGGGTGGCACACCTGTGGCACAGGAAAGGGAATCCTACAGCTGAGGCTGTGGCCAGGACAGGCCAAAGCAGAGGGTGGCTGGGGAACAGGTGGAGGAGGTGACTTGAGTGGTAGAGACTGTGAGAGGGGTCCGCCAGGCAGGGCTGATGGCTGAGCGGGTCTTGATACCCTGTAACTAAAGGTTAGCAAGAGTGAGATCCCTGTCCCATGCCAGGCCAACATATAGGCTCCAGAAACTTAGATCACCCCAGGAAACAAAAGCAAAAACTTTACACACTCTGAGTACAAACCTAGAAGAGTCTGAATTACTTCAAATGTCAAGCGTGTTTTTTTCTGTCAGCTGTGGAAATGGGGGCTCCTAATTAAGTTCAGTTACAGAAACCACCCCCGTGACCCAGTTGCTCCTTCCTGCACAAGGCACCTGATCATGCCTGCCTCAGAGCGGTGTCTGGCTCCACGTTACAAAGAAAAGTTAAGTCAAAACCAACCCGCCCTGCCAGTCTCCATCCCTACCTTCACCTCTACACACCCTACACTACATTAACATTTGCATTTTCTCTAGGTATGCTGTGTTCCTTCATACGGTCCCACCTTTGGACACACCTCCCAGCCTGCTGTGTATCTCCTACCACAGGCTTATCGTATTTTGGCACGTTATTTATGTCTGTCTCTGCTCTCTCTCAAGGGTAAGGGCTGTGTCTGATTCATATTTGTATCCTATTTTCCCTCAGACAATTCGTTGCTTGTGAATGCACTCAGGGGATTCATGGGTTAACCATGAACAGTCAAACCATGGACAGTCAAAACCATCCAGCGATGAAATGGGCTGCCTTGGGAGGCAGGGCGCTCCCCATCACGGGAGATACAGAAGCATCGGTTCTACCAGGAGCTGGCAATGATGCCAAGGAAAGAGTAGGAGCCTGGGTTAGTGACACTGAGGAGCCCGTCCTACCTTAAGAGTTTGAAGGTCCATGAGCACCAGGAAAAGGCTCTAGCAGCAGCAGGCTGACAGTGGAGAAGGGTGGGAGCAAGCTGGGCAGAGTTCCAGTGGTCCCCAGGAGTGGGGAAGATGGCTCTGATGGCAGGTGTCAACAATGGGGAAAGCTCTAGTATAATGTGAGGTACATTAGACTTCTTGAAATCCCTAAGCATATAGTAACTCACTGGAGAATCTGTACTTAATATACGTAGAAAGGTATGCATAGATGCACCTACAGTGCCTATAGACGAGATGCATGGTAGATAGTAAAATAGCAGACAACAAGCCAAGTCATTAAAATGTTTATCCATTCCTTTTTTTTTTGCCTCTGCATGTGGTACCTGGTGATATTACTCTCACCTAACAGGATGACACTAGAAATATGGCAGGACCTACTTTGGAGATAAGGAATTCAGATTGTTAACTAGCCAGTTATCTGTCATTTTCTGGAAGGAAATTTCTTGGGAGTATAAAATCATTCCAGTATGAAGACTTAATTATGAATGGGAAAAATGACTGCCCTTTAAGCAATAGGGTCCTGTGATTTTAGTCTGATGGGCCCTAAAATCAAAGCCTCAGACCTGAAGTGGAGTACTTCGGTGCTCAGGATATTTCCTGTAGAAATACCTAAATGGTATCTGTGCTATGACTGAGCCTTAGCACATGTCAACAGAGGCCTGTAGAAGCTGCTTGGGAGACACCTGAAGTTCCAACTTCCTCTATGTATATGCTGCAGATGTCCTGGGGCAGATGTCTCTTATTACACCTGATTACTGTGACGTGGCAGACAGGTGAACACAGGGGAATGCCTCACCTGCTTCCTTTATATGCTTGTAAACATCGTCAGAGCCAGCAGAAGAATACGGAATGTCATCATGAGCCACGAAATCGATCTGTTGAAGAAAGAGAAGAATGACGTCACCACTGGGATGGATGTGCAAGTCTGCAGATTTGAAGGGGACTGGTGATCCCAAAATGCCTTTTCGAAAGAAGGCAGTTGCGTGTTATATTTATAGTGTGGATCCGAATCCTTGGCTGAAAGGCATCTCCAACTGTCTCCATTTCCAGGAGAGAGTGGGAACTAGAAGAATAAATGTTTGGTTTTTCTCCTTTGCTGGTCCCTCTTTCTTCTCCTACCTCTGACAATAGGTTTTCTTGGCCTTCGGTCCTTTTGCCTCTAAACTTTCTCCTCGAGAGAACTCATTCATTCTTTGGATTTTAATCACTCCTGCTATGATGAGAAACCCAAATCTCCATTTCCTATTCTATTTATAGCAATATGCACTCACACTTAGGTTGTGGTTTTTTGTGTTTGTCTGTTTTGTTTTGTTTTGTCTGAGACAGGGTCTCACTCTGCCACCCTGGCTGGAGTGCAGTGGTGTGATCCTAGCTCACTGCAGCCTTGAACTCCAGGGCTCGAGCGATCCTCCTGCCTTAACCTCCCGAGTAAGTGACACTACAGGTGCATGCCCCCACGCCTGGCTAAACTTTTAAAAAAATTTTGTAGAGACAGGGTCTTTCTGTGTTGCACAAGCTGGTCTTGAACTCCTGGCCTCAAGCAATCCTCCCACCTCAGCCTCCCAAAGTGCTAGGATTACAGGTGCGAACCAGCACTCCCAGCCTAGGTTGTATTTTATACCGTGAAAATGAATTCGTCTCTTTTTTGATCCTCATAACCACCTTGTGAAGTGGGTATGAAATATATTAATACCTCAGTTGGGACATAAGGTGCTGAAGCTAGACAACTTGTTAGATTTGCCCAAAGTCACACAGCTTGCTAGTAGTTTGAAGATGGGTGTGGGCTGCTAGGGAACCCGGCCAGGCTTTCTGAACTCCCACTGCAGCCTTCTTCTCTTTCATCACTTCTTGCTATCACTTTAAAACCAACCTGTCCTGTTGACATTTGGAAGCTGAGAAATAAAAAGCTGTCCAAGAGAATATATAGGAAAAGTTATTTTGACTAGAATACATTTTAAATGTTCAAAATCAGGTTGCCTTGTATTCAAGGAAATAGGTCTTTAGTGTTTTAAAGTGCATGCAGTGTGTTTGTGTGTGTGTGTGTGTGTGTGTATGTGTGAGAGAGATTGTGAATGTATGTGTTGGTTTTATCTCCATGAAACATAATGACCACTAATAAATACATGGTCAGCTCACAAAATTACATTTAATATGTGCTTAGTATGAGACTTCTTACTAGACCATGTAACTTAAAACCCACTGATTTTTCTGAAAGCTTCTCTGTTAGTATAAATTATGTTAGAAGTTGTGAGGGTAAGGGAAGTGTAGGCCATTCATTATATCATCTCAGGTTGCAGAGGTAACATGTTAAATGTGTTTCCATTTGCCTTTAGTTGAGCACCTGCTTATCTTCCTGGGAGGCAATTAAATATTTGCCTGAGAATCGACATGGCTCAGAATCCTTGAGTCAATGGTGTGGATGTGCTCCTCCCTTAACTGATACAACTAATAACCGATGTGGTGTTTCTACTGAGAGGCCGGTGGCACCTCTGGACAGGTTGAACAGGTTGTAGGCACCAGGATATTGACACGACTATGCTAAGATGGTATTCTTATCTAGTTTTGAATCTCAGGCTTCCCTTTTTTTTTACATTTAAATAAACTTTCCAACCATTTGTAAAATGCAAAAAAAAAGTTAAAAAAAATCAACCTGTCCTGAATTTAATTCATCCTCCTGAAAACTGGAGCCCCCCCAACTAGGGCATCTTTGTTTTCTGAGTTTACCTAGACCCAAAAGCTTGGAATTGGCCTTCTTTCCCTACTTCTTTCACTCACATAGCACACAGGTCACAGGTTCCATTGGGAGTGTGTGAGAGTGTGTGTGTGCACACTTCTGCATGTGTGGACTTCCTCACTGTAGGTTCTCTCCTCTCCTAGCCATCCTGCTGTCGCATGGGGTATCCTCCTTAAATAGAGTTTTCTTCTGGTCATCCTTATGCTTGCTAATCTTCATCCACTTCCTAAGATATCAAGTAAACACTCCTTGCCTAGCTTTCAAAGCCCTTTACAATGGGGCTTCACTCTACCTTGAAAGAAAGGTAATTTAGAGTAGTGATTTAGTTTGCTTGGTTGTGATTCCCCGCCCCACTATTAATACTTGCTAGCTATGTAACTCATGAATTGGTGGTAAGGATTCAGCCAGGATTTCTCAACCTCAGTACTAGTGACATTTGGAACTGGACAATTCTTTAGTGTGGAGGGGCTGTCTATGCATTAGAGGATGCTCAGCAGCATCCCTGGCTTTTACCCACTAGATGCCAGTAGCACCCCTCTAGCTGTGACAAGCAAAAATGTCTCCAGACATTGCCAAATGTTCCTTGGGGGCAAACTCGCCCCCAGTTGAAAATCACTGGATTAAATGGTATAATTATGTAAAAGTGCTTAAAAATGATAACTAGTACACAGCAAGTACTCAATAAATGTTGATCATTATTATTATTAATTCTATTTGCAGTATTCAAACTTAGTTCTTCCTCTTCTTCAATGTATAACAACAACAACAACTTCTCAGGGTAGCCATGAGATTGAATTTAATTCAAATAATAAATAACAACGCCCTTAGCACAGTGCTGGGCACATGGTAAATACTCAGTGAATGGCAGCCATCATTATCACTATTAGTACCCACCATAATGCCCAGCACATGTTGAATATACAATAGATACTTAGTAAAAATGTGGTAGTGATTACTGGAAGTAAATCATATTGTAGTTTTTCCTTTTTCTTTCTTATTCTTGCTGGGAAATTGTCTCCTCTGCTATTACCCATGCACATTTATCAGTGTTCTCTATTCTCTTCTGCATCGTGAATTTAAAAATAGAAAAGAGAATTCTTAGAACAGCTTAATCTTATTTTTTTTGTACTGCTTATAAAAGAAAAGAATAGCTCCTAATGCGGGGATGGTAGGGAGATACAAAGCACATAATTTGATGCAGATCAAAAGAATTTCTCGTGTTTTCAACTAATAAAAATCTTATGTCAGTAGGAATCTCAGGGTCACAAAATCAGAGATATAAAGTTCTTTCCTTAAAGGCTAGCCCCTGACCTTCTGGATAAGATGTGTGTTCATTTGTTCCATGAAAAAAGATGCCTGTGATTCTATAAGCACCAATAATCATGGTGGTGATGGTGATGATAATAACATTTTCGCAGCTCTTGCTATGAGCCAGACAGTATTCCAAGTGCTTTACTTAGATTATCTCATTAGATCCTCAAAATGGCCCCACGAGGAAGCGACTAATATCATCCCATTTTACAGTTGAGATAAGTTGAGTCCAATGTGGTTAAATGTCTTACTCAAGGTCCTACGGTTAGGAAGAGAGAGAGGCAGGATTTGGACCTAGGTGATCTAGCTTGAGTGCCCACACTGGAGGAAATGAGGGGATCCCAGTCCCCAGGTTGGGTGGAAGAGAGGTGCTACAACAAGAGACACCACACAATGGTTCCTGAAGTTCCCTTTTATAGAAACCGGGAGAGTCTTTGGGCTTTCTGCAGTCTCAGCTGCAGAACCAGACTCCCTAATAATCCCACTACTTAGAGAACGTGGGAGAATGAGAAGTACCTTGTGTTTTTCCAGAAACTCTGGAGTTAGTGTCCATGGAGCATCTCTGATTACTTCATCCACGTAGCGACAGTGTCTGAGAGCCTCGTATCTCTCTGCTTCATTCATCACAGTGAAACCTTTGAATTTGTGGGTCAGATCATCACTGCAAACTGAGACAGGCAAATGCATTAAATGCTGTTAACTGGTCTAGGCCCTGTTCGCAGCCACCCTGGTGCAGACATGGCTTCTTCAGCGAGACAAAAGGAGCACAGCCTTGCTAGGTGCTTGGCGTAACCAAACTTAGTTTGTTACAGGAACAAAGGATAAGGAGAGTGAAGCAAGCTGAAATCCACTGGCAATTCAGAATTTCATTTCAGTGCTAATTACATCTGCATTCTCCACTGAGGCTTTTATTAAAATCATTCTCCACTCTACCTAATATGACTTTCATATCTTTTTATTTTCTTATCCCAGCTCTCAGTGAAAATTACTATTCAGAAATAAAATGACCAAATGAACAGAGAAGAGAGAGAGAAGGAGAGGAACCAAGAGGCCTGAAGGTTTGAACAATCAGTTCCAATTCTTTTGCTAGTTCATTGTACTTAACAACCCAAGTGTGACTCTCTCGCACACAAACACACGCGTGTGCACACACACACACACACACACACACACACGCTCTTCTGTTCCCTGGATTGAGGTCCAGTCACTGCACATCAGGTCACACAATTAAGAGGAGAAAGTCATAAAATAGAAGGTCTGATCTAGCAGAGCTCATCCTTCCGATTAATATATCTCTTATCCTTTCTAGATCTCAGGTTCCTGAACTCTCAAACGGGGATTCTAATATCCACTATCAGCCTTAGAAAGGATTTTTTGAGGATTTACATGAAAGAGTTTTAAAATAAACTGGACAATAAATATTATTCTCCATCCTATCTTTTGGTTGGCCGATGCAGCTCTCCTAAGGTTTCCTATATGTCAGAAAGAAATGTCATTGTGGGTACAGTCCCTATTTAATCAAGATCTTGGTGAGGTCTTGCTGCAGCCAGTCAGAACTACCCTGACTGCTCCTTGCAACGAGATTTTTTTTCTTTCTTTTTTCTTTTTTGATTTATTGTAATTGCTTTTTTAAAATTTCAGAATATTACAGGGGTACAAACGTTTTAGTTACATAAACTGCTTTTGTACCGTTTGAGTCAAAGTTGTGTGCCCACCTCCCAGATAGCGTGCATTGTACCCGTTAGGTGTGAATTTATCCATCCCCTCCTCCCCCCTCCCACTTGCTTGATTTCCAATGAATATTATTTCTATATGTGCACATAAGCGTTGATTGATTAGTTCCATGGAATACTACTTAGCCATAAAAAATGGTGAGCTAATACCTCCTATATTAACCTGGAAGGAACTGGAGACCATTCTTCTAAGTGAAGTATCACAAGAATGGACAAACAAACACCATATGTACTCACCATTAAATTGGAACTAATCAAGATATTTTTTCTTTAAGGTATTATTATGTACACACAATAAATTCACTAATTTTAAGTGTACAAGGCGTGGCTTTTAAATTTTAAAAAATTTTAATTGACACATAATAATTGTACATATTTATGGGGTACAGTGTGATGTTTTGATACATGTATACATTGTATAACAATCAAATCCGGGTATTTAGCAATCTATCACCTCAGACCTTTATCATTTCTTTGTAGTAAGAACATTTGAAATCCTCTCTTCTAGCTATTTTGAAACACACAATACAATATTGTTAACCATAGTCACCCTACTGTGCAATAAAACACCATAACCTATTCCTCCTATCTAACTGTAACCTTGTACCTGTTGACCAAACTCTTCTTGTCCCCTACTCCCTCCCCTCCCCAGTCCCTGGTAACCACTGTTCTACTCTACTTCTATGCAATCAGCTTCTTTAGATTCCATATGTGAGCGACATATATACACAATAGCATACTATTCAGCCATAAAAAAGAATGAAATCCTGTCATTTGCAGCAACATGGATGGACCTGAAGGATGTGTTAAGTGAAATAAGCCGGACACAGAAACACAAGTACCACACGATCTCACAAGATGTGTTTTAAAAATAAAAATATCATTTTCTTGGAACCAAATAATGGCCCACATCCAAAACCAAATGTGACCACAGAGTAAGCGCGGCCAATGACCACAATCAGCATCCTTGGAAAACCACCTATTCCAATCCCTTCACACACTCCGCCTTCAAACCATCGGCAAAACTGCAGTGCACCTGGAAGCCACATCCTTCTCACCACCTCCACTGCTCCCAGCCCGGCTCCTTCACCGTCCCTCCTGCAGTTACTGCAGTGGGCTCCTAACCCGTCTCCGGATTCCAGCCTTTCCCACTCACAACAGCCTGTTGTCATCAGCCAGAATGAGCCTGTTAAAACCTGTCAGACTGTGTCATTCCCAGACTCAAAATCCTTCCCATCTTCTTCAGAATAAAAGTCAAAGTCCTCCAGCAGGCCCCTTATAAGACTCACACCTCTGCCCACGCCTTGCCTCTCTCGCCCATCTCCTATTGTGTTCCATCCCCCAGCCTCCTTGTGGTTTCCAGAAGCCACCACAAACTCTCCTCCTCAAGGACTCACTCCCTCTCCTCTCTCAAGTCTCCCTCCCACCCTGTTCTGAATTGCAGTCCCCTCGGGCTTGACTTTCCATGGCACTGTTCTCATATAATTGTCTTATTTAATTTTATTGTTGGTGTTCCCCTGTAAGCTTCCTGAGGGCGGGGAGGGACTTTTGTTTCATTTTCTGATGAACAGTACCTGGCCCCTAATAGGCTCTTAACAAGAATTTGTTGAATGAATTGACGGAACCTAATACATGCTCAACAAATGTTTATTATTATTTACAATAGATGTATATTTATCTGCAAGTACATTTCAACAACATACATGCAAATAAGAGACTAATGAGTTTCAAGATAAATATGTATATGCCTATATATCTCTATACATACTTCCTGAGAGGTTTTCTATTACAGCAGTTCACGTTACCAAAACATCAACCACGTGGCTGCCTCGAAAACTGATGAGTATCAGAATCCCCCGAAGATCTTGTTAAATACATATAAAGAAGCCCAGCCCACTCCCTGAGATTTTGATTCAGTGGGTCTGTGGCGGGGCCCAGGCAGCTCTGTTTTTACAAGTTTCAGAGAGGATTCTGATGCATACAACATTTGAACACCCCTGAAACATACTATAAACAACCTGAGTAAAGAGCCCTGCCTGTCTTTGAATCACCCATCCTGCCCAGAGGTGGGGGGTGGAACAGGGAGTAATAACTATGTATTGATTTACTGACTGCATTGGCTTTTGGCCTCATAAATAGGAATTATTTATGGGCCATGCTATATGATTTAAAAACTGATCTAAGACTTTTAAAATGTTCTTTTAGGACTTTATTAAAATACTACCTCAAGAATCATATTGAGCAGAAATGGATTTCAGATCCATAATTTTTTATTTTAAACAGTACAAAACTAGACCGGGCCACATCCTCCCCTTTTTGAACCCGCACCTGAGCAATTTGGTGTAACTTCTGCATGACCAAGATAATGGCCTGCTGATAGAGCACAAAGAAAACAAACATCCTGTTTGTGCCAATACAGGGTCCTATTTTCATATCCCAGGAGTGACCTCAAGAAGCAGCTGAACATGCTGACCCGTTATTGTCTAAACATTAATTACACCCAAAGCAGCACTGTTGTTCTTGAGTCTTGGCAAATGCACTCTGACAACCAGATGGAGAACTCTGAGCGGTGGTATTCCATGGATGAATTCATTGAGCTATCTGGGAACTCAGGATGCAGCTAACCTATCCTGGCAGCTTACTGTGTTCAAAATCAAAAACTCCACAGGAGAGAAAATATAACATAGGGTTGAACGTGGGAGCCCAACAAACTTGGGTTCTAATCCAAGCTCTGCCACTTATTACTGGGAAAGTTACTCAAACTCTCTAACCCTCGCATGCCTGGTCTGTAAAACATGGTGTATTTTTGAGAATTAAATTTGATAATCCACATGAGCAGAAAGTAATACTCAAGAACATTAGCCACTTATTAATAGTAGTAGTAAAATAGGCTAATTTATGGAGTTATTCCTTTGGATTTTGTGCTCTTTTCCCTGCCCCCACTCCAAGCAGGTGTCCAGGCCTCTTGGTACAAACTCCCTTGCACAAGCTGTGAGCTCAAGTTGTTGGTAGACAGCCTGCCTTCCTGGCTGCTGTTTTCCTGAAGCCAGAGCAACTTGGGGGGGATTCTGTAAGAAAGAAGACAATGAGAGAGGATATTCCTCCAAATTGTGAGGAAAAGGTAAAATGTTTGTGGGTCCCACAAGCAGTGGGGGCCCATGGCAGAATCTCAAGAGGGATGAGAACATGAAGCCCGAGGCACGGGGGTCCACCTGGGCACAGACCACGGGCGCCTCACCTGCGGGAGGTGCAGTGGATCTGCTCCCTTCTAGTAATTATGTGGGCTCAGACAGCAAGGGCGGTGCAAAAATGGCACTGGGCTAAAGACTGGAGGCTTCTCTCCTGTTTCGGTAAACATTTTGGACACTTGTTTGACTCTAGGGAGGTAAAGAGAGCCCAATGAACTGAGATCGAATTTCCTACCAGTCAGGCAAAATGGAATCTTGGAGGAATATTTCATTTCAATTAAAATACAATAAAGCATAAACTCAAGTTTATGGAGTAATATTTATGTCTACTATAGTAGCAGCAGTGGTATGTCTACTGTTGTCACTTTTATTCCCCTCCTGGGAGGCAGAGGTGGGTAGTTGGTGACACTCATCCTTCAACAAAAAATTTAGGGAAAAAAACTCTCCAGCATAAATTTTAATTTTTTGGCCTGTTTTTAAATGGCACAAACTTGTACATTAAAATGGAAAAAAAAAGAGCTTTACAAGTGGATAGACATAATTCATTAACATAATACCAACAAGGTGAGCTCACATAGAAAAATTTTCAAATTATTACTGGCTACATGCTTAAAAATTAGAAATGCAGATAGTATAATCGCAGTCCAAATCCATGACAGTTGTGGTATCTGTTACTGCCTAAGTTTGAGAAGTGGACTGTAGTACGTCCATTTATCACAGTTGCTGGTCTTTTAATAAATTATTTCT